TCAGTAAAAAAAAACTGCTTATAGCAAAATTGTATTTAACCAAATTGTTCAACACTGTCTCACAAAAGTCTTCCAAAATTAATTTAAATGACATGAGGTTCATGTGAATTCAGAGCTGACTGCAGCATTTCTATGAATAGCCATGACAAATACAAAGGATTACTTTGGAGAGAGGCACAGGAAAGACTGATGGTTACTCTGAGAGCTAATTTTAATTAGAATATGCAGCAAATCCTCAGAAAAGAGAAGAACTCTCTCATGTTAGAAAACTTGATTCAAATCTGAAAGAATAAATACAGTAAAATTTAAGTACTCACCAGGAAACTGAGGAGAAGCAGAGAACTGTAAAATAGAGCCCCCTCCAGGCGCCCAGCTGCTGCCAGATTTAAGGGTAGCTCTGGAGCAGGAATTCTGGGAAGAGGGCACTTCTGCAGTGCAAAATTGAGGCCTCTGCCCCGAAAAATAAGGCTTTAGTGTCATAAATAGAAATAGCCAGAAATCATAGTTATAGTTTGTGATCTTTTCTGTGATTTTGCCTTTTTTTTTTTTTTGGGACTCCGAGTTCCTTTTGCCCGGTGAAGCTGCTGCTGCCAGTTTTGCTGTGTAGCAGTGAGGCTGACAGGAGGACGGTCCGTTCACACAGCCCTGTCCTTCAGCCTGTTCCGAAGCGGCAGTTGCAGGAGCTGGGGCCCCGCGCGGCAGGACGGCTGCACCCGCCAGAGCCCGCACAGCGAGGGGGCTCCTGCTCCCCCTGGGTGCAGGTTGGTGGGAGGTTGTCATGCAGATACAGAGTCTGATACAGGCAGGATGGGCCCGTGGATACGGAGCGGCTGCCCGCAGCGAAGGCCCGGGGGAGCGGAGCCGGCAGGAAGCCGGGCGCCTTGTGAAAATGCTTTTGCACGTGTGCACCCAGTGTTTTGGGTGTGCTTCAATGCAGTATCAGGGCATTGATGACCAGCTGTTTTCAGTCTGCATGTATCCTAAAGTCCTAATTTTATATAAAAATAGTTTTGGAGGATGGCTTCTGTGAGGTGGCATCTTCGCTTCTATCATCTACAGCACTCGTGTCCTGAGTGTATGAGAACGGTGGGAAAAGAGTAAAACTGGCTGGAGCAGGAAGTTGCCTGGGATGCCTTCCACCTCCTCCTCCCTCTTTTTCCTTTTCCAAATGAAATAAAATTCTAATATTCTTCACAGAATAAGATCTGCCATTTTCATCTCATCTATAAAGATTTCAGAGAAGGAGCTTGGACTTTTTAACATGACTATCATCTGGCAAGAGTCTAATTCAGGATGGCACTTTAAGGATATATGGTAAAAATGTAAAAAAAAACAGTATTGGTGAGAAAAGCAACCCTGGAATTGTAGCCGCTGACAAAAAAAACAACATTGCAATTTTTTTTTGTAATTTTGCCTGATGTCACCATGTGCTTTTTATGGCTGGTCAAAAAGATGTGTAAATTTGCAAATTCCTGGCCTGTGGGCACCAACTTACCCTGGGGAGAAGGACTATGACTTGGTTGCCTCATTTTGAGGTTGAAGAGAAGGGTTGGGTCACTAGGATCCCTCTCCATCCTCTGTTTAACTTACCAAATGTCAGTACAGATACTTGCCCGGGTAAGAGCCCCTGACAGTGGGTGGAACTGTGTGCCCACAGGTCACGGATACAGAAGTGTCTGGGTGCATGTGCACGCTCCACAGAACGGGATCACCTGGCACCGGGATACGGGAGAGCCAAGCAGAGAATCTGCAAATCAGTAACTTTGCCCAAGTAAATAATATTTGCACCCAGAACAAAGAGCTGACTCTACAGTTACTACTGCACGCACTAACGCCCATGGCTACTAAGCGTGTTTAAGTGGAAGAATAAATGGGTTTTCTACAATGTTGTCTTTTATAATACAACTGGAGAGTGGAAAAACAAAAGAAAAAAAAAAGAAAAGAATTTGAACAGTGTTTATGGCGGTGGCAGTGCCTACGTGTCTCATTCCATAAAGGCTGCAGAGGATCTGTACATCAGCACAGCTCTGGCAGACGGAAACTCCCAAATCCTCGATGACTGCGATGATAATTAACTCCTAGAAGTTGCAGCTTCTTTGAAATGTACTTCCAAATCTTTGAGGAAATAATTATTTCTGAATAAACCAGTCCTTCTTAATCCAGACATTATTTATTATATTCTGAAGCACACCTTGAAATGCAACACTGAACACAAATTTCTCTTTGATTGGTTTAATGGAAACAATTTCTCTCTTCAGCAAGCACTTGCTTTCAGAGTGAAACCTTAACATTTTATTTTTATCTCTCTTGTCAATCACCGATTATTTTTCTCCTGCTGGCCCTACCTGCAGATGACATACTCCTCTCAAAAGCATGTAATCTGAAAAGATGCAAAGTTTTTGTTTTCCAAATCAGTCAACTAGCTACCAGATGATCTGACAAATAGGTCACAGATTTCTTTCTGGAAAAACAGTTTGTTCAGCTCAGGGATGGCACTTGAGTACAAATTTCTTCAGCAAAATGATAAGTAATACCCAACTCCTATTTTTCCAATTTGGTATTTCATAAAGTCATAGAATCCTAGAATAATTCAGGCTGCAAGGGAGCTCAGAGGGTCATCTTATCCAGCTTCCTGCTCGAAGCTATGAGACCAGGTTTCTCGGGGCTTCATCCAGTTGCACCTTAAAATTTTCCAGAAATGGAGCTGCACAGCCTCTCTGGGCAACTGTTTTCAATTCTTGACCATCTTTAAATTGAAAAATGATCTCTCTGAAACCGTTTTTTTTTTGTTGTTTTCCTGTACACTGTCTCTCATTCTGTTTTTTTTCCAGTGGATTCAGGCTTGTGCTACTCAGGGCTGGCACAAATCTACCATTGTATTTCTGCTCAGTATTTCTGCATGCATACAAAAGACAATTACAATTTCCTTCAGGCTGTAAGTCAATGAATCTAAACCTTTTTTTTTTTTTTTTTTGCTTCATATGTGCTGTATGAAAAGATGAGCGCTCCTCTTTGCATGTACAGAAAACAGACTTTCATTGAAGATTCGACCCAGAGACCAAAGAGCAAAATTCTTGTATAAAAGCTGTTCTATTTTTTTTTAAGACTATTGTAGCCTAAACACTTTATGAAATATTCTCTTTCTGAGGAACTTTTCCAATCTCACTGAACATGCTGAAGTCATTATACAGTTCCTAGAGATACTTCTTTGTCCAGACAGCCTTACTACAGGTTACGTTTCTGCAGGAGATTAAAAATGATGTATTAGTAGATAGCCTTCTAAAAACACTCTTTTAAGTAATATTTGTCTACATCTTCCCAAAGAAAATACAGCAAATAATTCATGGCAAATAATATATAACCGTGAGAACATTTACCACTGTATTTATTTAAATGAAGTGAAACATGCTGAAATGTGAAAGCTGAGCATTTCAGTTTATTCACATATTTTACATTCAGATGTCCGACAGCAATGATTTCTTTCAAAAAAAAATCCACTTGTAGCTTCCAAAATTTGACAGATACATGGATTATAGTTAATGAAGCATGTCGCTGCGCTGCACTGCAAACTACAAAAGCCTTGTGTATATGGAAAAAAGATGAAATTTGACCATTACTTAGAAAATGCTTTCCTTTAATATAAATAAAATTCAGAGTGCTTTATTTCAACAGGCAAAACAACAGTGGGATTTATTAACAACTACATATTTACAGGGTCCCACTGGTAAAAAAAAATATGGGCCTTATCTGAGATCCTAGACACTTCCTGAGAAGGCAGCGTGGACTGCGGAGTGCTCAGCACTTCACATAAGCCAAGTGCTAAAAGAGTGAAATCAGAGCGTGCTTCTAAAGGGAATGAGATGGCAAAGCTGTAACTGCTGATGGAACGTGTTAGTGCCCCGATCCTGCAAAGCGTGCACCACAAGTAGTCCCTTTGAGTTCAGTAGTTCTACATATGTTCCTAAGGTTAAACACAGGGCAAGTGTTTCAAATCAGGAACCTGGGAAGAAGACAACTGCTTGACGCAAAGATGCTACGGGTAGAGAAAACTGCTGTAATGACATTTCAGCATGAAATAGAGGCACATCACATCAGATTTACAATACTACTACAGAGGTGATGTCTATTGCTTTGCTTTAATTTGATCCTAAAAGGTCTGGATTCTAAATATCAAATGATAACACTTGCGAAAGCATCTCCTTCCCACAGCCTCCAGAATCATAGTGCCACTGGAGCAGATCTCAGTCTGTTTGGCAGTTAAATAAGAACCAGATCTTTTTCAAAGTACTCACAAAGTAATCGCACTTACAAAATGGCTGTCCCACCATTCCTGTATCAAACCTGACATCTGTTCTGTGGATCTAAACAGTTCCCTGGGAGTTATAAAAATAAAGAATTGATTAATATACAAATATATATTTTGGAGAGATAAGAGAATAATATTAAATTCCATTTTTAATCTACTTTAAATTAAAAGAAATGTTTTCAAAAGTCTAGGATGAAACAGATCTTTATCTATTGGCTCTTTAATGGAACCCACTCCCTGCAGATGGCCACATGCAACTTAATGGAAGAAGCTCATTAGGACAAAAAGACAGTGGACTCGTTTCCACCAGCAGAGCAATTCATAAAACCTGCCCTGCCAGTTGGATTCTCATATCTCTCTTGTAAGGACTGCAGATATTTCTAATACTAGAAACAAAACCTAAGTCGTGAATATCCTTGTACTCTTTTAGAAATTTACTCCTTACCCTGGTCTGCATTATTATTTGTTTTCCAATAATCCAGTTCATTTTGTATACTGTTTGTACACAGCATAATAGAAATGCTCTGCATGAATGCACATGTATGTACAAAACCAGGCAGTTATTCAGTTACGAGCGATGCCTGCTCACTGGGTCATTTCATACTTTCACAATGCCATATTTTTCCTGTAATAACCATAACAACATCGTGTAGGTTGCTCCCTTCTTCCACCGAGATGCTCGTACAGGTTTTTCTTCCATTTATCTTAAGCAGCCGAAACAGCAAGGAACATTTTTGAACAACCTATAATACTCTTCCTGAATCTGAAATAAAAATATTGAATTCAAACATGAAATAGATTTATTAATAGGTCTATATATGTTTTAGTTCATTTTCTGCTACTTCATATGCTTAATTTTTTAAGGTAAGGATGACTTTAAGACAGGGTACTGCAGAATATATTGTCTCAGAAGAATGTGAATCCTGCCTCTAACTGCAAAGACTGAAATTAAGTTTTATTACACCCATTGTATTATTTCATTGGGATAATGACACTGTGATCAGTTTTGCAATTCTTTTAAAACATTATTTACTGTTTCATTTGTTGTTTTTCAAAGGTGGAGAAAATATCCAGGGCAGTCGGAATGTGGGCAGAAGTTCTGTCTCTGCTGAAGTCCGGAGCAGAGTTTCCTGTGTGCCCTCCGCACCCCACAGCAGGGCCACGGGGATTTCTGCATTTGCTCTCATGCCACATTTTGCCCCTCAGCCTCCCACTTCAGACCCAGGGCTGGACACCTGCTTGTGTGACTACGTGTGACCACCTGCCCACGTCATTTCCGACGGGGAAGGGGACACTTACCTTTCTCGACAACACACACAGAAATATGAAGATGAACATCCCCTGAAATGCATTGAAGATGGTAAAAAGGTAGGCAGTAACCACCGATCCCTGGACGACGTGGAGGACCCCGAAGATCCAGGTCGCCCCGAGGAGGAACAGGAGAGCAAGAGCACCTCGGGCACAGGACCTAGTCAGGAGGGAAACACTGCAACAACTTGCAGACAGAGATGCTATTTTCTATCCTGAGCTGCTCTCAATGCTGCCCTGGCAGTTTTTATCAGCTGAAAGGCCTGGGAAATGCGAGTGCGTGGCCTGTGCTTTAGGGTGTGCTGTAACACCGTGGCACGAGCGAGCTTGCAGAATCGCTGCAGAACAGCGCAGGAGTAAAACTGGAGGACCTTAAAACACTGGCTGCTTTAATCTTCAGATATGTTTTCTCTGGTGTACTGCAGCACCATATGATTTGATTTAAATCTACTGTTAGTGTAATTCCCCAAGGAAAAACATATGTCTGTTATGAAGTATTCCCCCCACTTCTCCTCCTCCGCCTTCTCCTCCTCAAAAAATAACCCAGAAAAATGTACAGGATGCTCGTAGGTCAGTACATGTGCATGACATCAAAGGGTTCCCAGCCTGCCTCTCAGGTTCACTGCAGAAGACAGCACCAATTGTAAAACTAGACTTTGTTTCTTTCATTTGTCCTGTCTCTAAAAAATTACTTTTGTTTTTAGAACACAAATACTGTCAGATATTTCCTGGGTCAGTGTATTGATGCTTTAGAATCATAAGAACTGATTTGCTATGATTTTCTTCCTAACATGCTGAAGAGCCCTGCTTACAGACTCAAGGAAATTACAGCATGTTGTCTTGGAAATGAAACCACTGATTACTTTCTTATTCATTCTTAGCCCAGTCATTGCAGGACTTCTTTTGAACAGGAGACATTTTTAGCACTGTTCCTCTGAAAATGAATAATTTTCAACTTCATTAAAACCAGCTCACTGCATGAAGCTACGAAGGGTGAGGAATAAGAGAAAGTAATCAATCAAACAATTGCTAAATCCTAACTATAAATCTAGTGCAATGCATTGAAACTGCAGGAGTGTTCCTAAGCAACACAAACAGTAAGTTGTTTTCAATGTTCCCTGTAGTACACTTCAGCTTTTCCTGCACAAACGGTTTTCAAGGTCCCTATAAATCAGTTTTAAAGAGAGTGAGTTGATGGAAAAATCATAGCAGCATGCAAAGCAAAAATCTTGGAGAGCCCCATTCTGCCAGTGCCACAGAGTCCTGCTGTACTCTTGACAAATACTGCGAATCACCAGGAACTCACCTTGATTTCTGTTATCAGTGTGTAACTACATGCTTTGTTACTTCACAGCAAACATTTTGGTCCCAGGTCAGGCACAAGTTTTCAAGCCTGTTTTGGCTTGCATAGAGGCTACGGGAAGTACTTAAGAAGGAAGGAAAATTACTTTAACCTTCACATCTGTCTTTACCCTCTTGTTGAGAAGGGGCCGCTCACCGTCTGTATTCTTGATACAGTTCCCACCTGGCCCTGTTGCTACTGCTTGTCAGGGGAAATAAAGATTACAAAATCTAACCCCCAAATTAATAGGGAAGATGGAATAACAGAAACATCTTTCTTTCTTTACAAATCTTTCAGAAGAAAAAAATATGTGTTTTTGAATAATCACTTATATATCTGTATCTATGTAAACTTACGGAAGAGAGGAGTTTGTATTAAGTAGCAAACTTACCTTATATTTTCATAACAACTAACTTCGGGTTTTAACATTGCAGTGTGTCGAAATACTTTATAAATAATCACTCCAAAAGCCAGCAAATTAACCTGGGGGGGTATGAAGAAAAGATGGTCTTTTTTTTTTTGTTCAAAATAGAGTGCTTTAGAATTTCAATAGCCGATACACATTTAAATGGAACAAGTCAGATAAGGTTTCCATGTATATGAAACCTAGAGAATCCAGTGCCGGGAGGGGAAAAAAAAAACCCTTTCTGATCCACTTCTATTAAAAAAATATGAGCCCTGTAATAAACATTGATCAAACTGGGCTGTAACTCTACCTTATCTCAACAGTATCACTACCAACAGTCTGCAAATGTTTATTGATTTTATTGGTAAATCTCTTGTATTTCCTGCT